TTTCCAAAGTCTTTTTTTCTTTTTTTTTCTAGATTTATCAGCCCAGGTCTAGACATCCAAACCCAATTCTGTTAGAACTTAGAAAAAGTCTAAAATTACATCTAAATCTCAAGTTGGGTCCATATTTCTCCAAGGATTCAAACTGGAACAGTGGCCTCAATAAATTCAGATTGTGGGGAAGTTGTGATCCAGAGACAAATCCGCCTGTTTCTTATTATAGAAACTACATGACTCTGGGATCTGGGAAACTGCTAAATGGCAGGCTGGAGGCTGGCATGTTTGGTTAACATTTCACAATAAGTACCATAAGCTTTCCTCTTTAAGCATACAGCTCTCACAAGGAAAAAGGGTGTGTGGGTGGAATATATCTGAGAGACAAAAATATTCTCTCTTACATGCCAAATTATCACCTGCTTGTAATTTACTCCCAAGGAGATCAGCCAAAAAAAAAAATCTCTTTGCCTTAAAGGAGCACCTGCTAAGGAGACGTCCATTTTCCACGAAATAAGCAGCATTGGTATTTGCCAGGGATAAAAGCAGGCTGAGGTGTGACTTGGATGCAGACGGGAAGGAATATAGAAATTGAGAGCGAGGGATGTTGCCATTAGATGTGTGTGCAAGAACCGATGCTGTGCGCAGTGTGGAGGGCAGGCGCAGGCACCTGCTCACACGGGGCCTTTTTTACAGCCAGTTTGTGAGGACTCATCAGCGCTGGGCACCTTTAGGGTGACCTGCTCAACCCAGCGTTGTCCAGCTCACATTAAAAGCTTTGACTGCATTAGGCTACTTCCAAACTAGCTTTTGCAGCTGCTTCTTGTGCATGTTTGATTCTAACCGCATGAGTCTATAGTCTAACATGGTTATGCACTCCAATTGCATTGGAAATTAAAAAACAGATAGTATTGTCCAGATCAGGAATGGCGTTAAGGAGGCTAACTGCTACTGATAGCAAAGGACATGGGGACCTCAGGAAGAATTAGGTATCTAAATAAATGTTCAAATCTGTATTTATGTGGTGATATATTTCAGGCAACAAGTTTCATACATTAATCTACAAGGCTATACTTAAGTTTCACAGATTTGTGTTGATTTGCATTTGTGTCTACATTGATATTTTATTGCCTAGGGAGCTGGGTTTGAAGCTGGAATTATTTGTATTCAGTATTGATATAATGCCACATCTATAAGTGTGAATGCGCTATTCACTTAGAAATGAGTCAAAGTAGCAGGTCTTTTCTCCAAAAAAAAAAAAAAGAAACACAGAAATATCAATCTGGCTCCACTTTACTGCACTAACTTTGTTGGAGGTAGACTGGGCCTTACATTAGACATAGCACAACTCAGAATAAGCAGATGTATAGGAAGGACTGAAACAGTTCTCCATCACCTTTTAAACTCCTACCTGCTTATTAGTAGACTCCTTCTTTTAGATTAATATACAACATAACATAAATCCTCGTCTTTGACTCTTCTTTATTTTAAGTGGATGATGGGAGAAGTGAGACTATCAGACATCATGCTACCTGACAATACAAATAAACCCCTGAGAAAACCAAAGCTGGCAAACAAATACAGCATAAACACAAATTGTTCAGAAAAATGCAGGTTTCTCGAAGACAGAATTTTTAACACCCTGAACTCACAGACATACTTCCAGTTTCATGTATCTTGGGTTACAGAGATTTTTTTTTTTCAGAAAATCTGTGGCACAGCCCACCAAAGGCCTTGGGAAGAAGCAGACTTGCAGAAGTACTAGAGACATCATAAAGGCAGACTGAAAAAGCTCAGGTGATTTATCATTTCACAACAACAACCAAAATGGGATTTTTCATGAATATAAATCATTGCTTTTTATTTACTATTATTTCTAATAACACATTTATTAGAAATAATGCTCCCTGCTAAAGGATAAATGAAATTCACAGACTCTCACATGGATGAAGCCACAGACCTTTCCAAAAACACTCATGCGACATCAGCACAAGCTCAGTGGCGGATATGCCAGCATGCTCTCCTGTACAGGACACAGGGGCTACTGGGACCATGGTGCTGAAATCTGTAGGAAAACAAGCAGCTGAGCTATCCCTTAGAAGTGAGGGCTGCAGCTACAGAAAAGGCAATTTTCCTTTCTTCCTCCAGGTCCCAATTCCCACGTCAGGTCGTGTTGTGCTCAGTGCAAGCTCTGAGCATTAAAGTCAATAAGTCACCCTTTTCTTTGACTTTATTTTCAGGTTGCTGTGAAAGGGTGTAATTTAGAGTGAGCAGTTTTGGATACAATTCAGACCAGCTTTTTCTAAACCTTACAATAATAGTGGAACAGCCTCACTGGAAATAACGTCACAAGTATTTTACAAGTAATCCTAAATGCCAAAGGATGTGAACTTTAGCCACACTTGAAGCTTGAACTGTGATTCTCTCCTGGGTTGCTACATATGACTAAAACCAAGGGGCAGCATTTACAAGGGAAAAGGCAGTTTAGGACATTAAAATGTAGGGTTAGTTTTCAGACATTTCTGGCTGGCCTCCTGTGCAATGCATCATTTGCACTTTCCATATTATAATAAAATAATAAAAATAATAATACTTAAAAAAGAATGTATATTGAGGTATTTAATAGGCAATCATAAGGGAAAAAAGCCTGTACTCAGATGGCAGCTTTCTCAGCAGGTTTCACAGACACAGAAATGGTGGGGGGAATGAAAGAGCACATTTTGCTTTCATGGTAAAGGTCATCGAATGTTCCATTCAGCATCCCCTGGGAGTTTGTTCTGCATCACCCTTGCCCCTGAAACCATCATGCTCTGAAACAGCAGCTGCTGAAGATCCTGCCTGATAAAAGGCCAGCCAAGGAATTTTGACCACATGGTGCGACCTGGTGGCAAAGTGACACCCAGACACCATCAGCTAGAAAATTTGAGATGCAAAGTACACTGAGATTACATTGTTCCTCTGTCCCACTAGAGAGATCAGTTCTGAGTCTGGCCAGCAAGCATTGCCTTCTCAGTCAGCACCACATTGATGGACTTTCCATGATTTGCCCAAGACCACCCAACTCCCCTCGTGCAGACAAGAGCACAGTCCCACAGGACAATGACTTGTGCTTTCCCTGACCCTAATCAGCAGGAATGCACTGACTAAAACTAATCCTTACTTTTCACATAAAGGAAATTCACCTTATATATCCTTACAACTGTGTATGTCTGTGCGGGACTTTTCCATTGCAGACAAGCGTTTCTTGTGAGAAGTGCTCACACAAAGAGGAAATAGATATACATGACTTGTTTTGGATGCTTAGTAACCAAGAAAAACTACTATCACAATCTATATGTACTGCCTGCTTTCAGATTCAACTAAGTTGCTTTTTTGTACCCTAATCTTTCATACAACCAAAGGTACAATACAGTGTAACTGGACAGTACTTTATTTTCCAAAACCCAAATCTCAAGTCTGAGTATTTCTGAACCTAGTCTAGAAATCAAGTGCAAGTCTGAACTGTAGCAGTATCTCCTTTCTAACAGGCCACAGATCTGAACAACATAACTCCTTACTAAATCCAAGTGTGCTTTCCCCTTCCTGGGCCTACAGTTAGCTCGGTATGATTCAGCGTATTTGTGGGTGAGACTTCAAGAGATTGGCTCACATGTGGCTCAGCAGGCCATACTTCATCCCAGAGCTACACCAAAACAGGACAGGAACACCGGGAGGGCTACAGCTCTTCCCGAGCTTGAGCAGACTTGCCCCCTGCTGCCACCTCCGTGCAGGTTGAAGAGAACAAGGTCTGAGCAGACCACAAGCAGACACAGATCTGCACGGCATGGAGGCCTCCAGCAGCAGAGGCAGCTGGAATGTTTCCTGGGCACTAGGCTCGCTGTCCTGCCCCGGTTAACTAAAGCCAGAATGTAGCCCTCTGTCTTAGGAGATGCATTGCCAAACAAAGCAGAATTCAATTTCTGTTGGACCTTATTGAGTTAAAGTAATCCCAAATGACCTGAAATTTTTGAAGCATTGTTTTTTTTTCCTCCTTAGTTTTCAGATAGTGTATTTGGACAATGAAATTAGAAGGATGATGGGAAATTTCAAGTGAAGTGAATCCACAGACAGAACATACTAAGAGCTGCTCTTGTCCTTACCCACTCCTACAAACTGTGCAGAGGCAAGTAGTTATGCATATATGCATATACACACTTTTTTTGTGCACCACCACACATGTATTCATGGCCATGGAAATCAGGTATTCCAGTGACCAGACAGATTTTGAGCTGGCTCATTGCATAAGAAATCAATGAAACGTGCATTTCTGTGTATGCAAGTATGGGCATGCAATCTCAAAAGTCTGTGGCTGTATCACCTGTGAGTGTGTGGATGTTTGACTCTCTTGTCAGTCTCAGAATATCTCTGCCATCTATGTATATGTTTACTTTATCTGCAAGGCTACAGCTCAAATTGCAAGACTATTTAGAATTTTCTGAGGGTGCAGGGGAAGTATCACTGGTGCAATCATGTTTCCAGCATGCAAGATCTTCTATCTGCAACAGCAAATGCAGTAGCTTACAGACTGAGGGCACCAAAACTTAATGTTGCTTGCAGTATTCATTATTTCACAGCCTTTTCTTTGAATATTTTCTGTGAAGTCTAGGGACATAAATGTTTCTTATATCCCGATGTCCATACACCATCAAAGATTTTTTTTTAAAAAAAGCCCACATTTTGGCTATATTTCACATTAGTCTTGAAATGCACAAAGCTCATGTTTAGATTTTACCAAGGAAAGAGATAGCAAATGCCAAAAACAAAGGTAGTACCTGAAGTAAAATAAAACAATTAAAAATACCTGTTTAAAAAGTTACAAAATATGACAGCATTAATGGCACTTAAAGCTATAAGCACTTAAAAGATTACTACCATATTTTTCTCAACTTCTTTTTCCTAAATTTCCGTTTGGAGATAATGACTGCAGCTCATGTTTAACCAAATCCAGCAATAGGGGCATAGAGCCCTGAGATCATATGGTTGCCCTAACCCTCATTTGGATATATATATATGCTCTTATGACTCTTTTTAAAAAAATTTGATTGAGCTGCAGAGAACAGCAGTTTGCTGACATGCAAAAGCTATAGCTTTTCTTCTGTTTTCATGGTCTTACAACATTAAAATTGAAGTTCTTTCAGTGGTAGAAATTATGAATCAGAAATTCATTTAAAAAAAAAACAGTTGGCCCACTGTTTAATACACTTAGCCAAATATTATTAAATTAATATTTTTCTTCTTTTAAACAACACGTCATGAAATGTTGCCTTTTCTTCATATGTACTTTCTTGCATTGAGTTTACACTGAATATTTCCTACAAGAGAAAAAAATCCATGTTCTTTTATTTTATTCTTTACTGATTATGATAAATACCCACAGAGTTTCTTTTGTTTTTAATGGAAAGAGCAATCCAACCCTTAAATACATCTGTGTTGGTTTTTCAAACCAGCATTTAGCTGGTGGCTGTGTCCGCAGACATTCTTATGGAGTTTAGAAAGATAATGCATCAGATTTAAAAATGAAAAGAAAAAATCTAGCCTGGATCACGTGCCAAAAACGTAAACTAAACCTTACTGAAAGTTTCTAGTTAATTCCAAACATTTCTCCTCTTTATAATCACCAGGGAAAGGCTTAATGTACATACTCCATTTAAAAGATATGATCATTTCCATTCTTTTGAAAGGTTCTTCTTACATAGCTGCCCTTTGTCTAATGTCATGCGATGGTGGCAGCATTCTGGTGGTACTGCCGTGGTTCAGGCTTTTCCTTTGTGTCTTACCCTGGTAATTTTATACAGGCTGAAATTTCCATGTGCGTAGCTTTCTTTTGCCATTCTGCAGTGCTGTGTTCCTGATTTGTTTTGGCAGAGCAAGCTTGAGTCTTTATGGCACAGTGAAATATTCTTCGATGCTATGTAATTCAGACTGAATAAGGAGTCTGTATAAGGCACGTGTCTCAATATATATATGTATATAAAAACACTAGCATTGTTTATTCAAGTCAAGCATCTCTTAAATTTAATTTCTGTCTTCAAGTAATGCTTTGTTTTCATGTTCCCTTTCTTTGGTTTCTGTGGGGATCATTCCATTTTCCAGGTCCGAGTGCTGCTGGATGCAGTTGGTTAGGACTGCAGTGCTGGAAGAGTTCTCAGAATTACACATCTTCTCTGTTTCTTCTTCCTTTTTTTCTTCATCCAAGGAGTAGTTTCGGAAGGTCTCATAGATTTTACGCACATCCTCAGGGATGGTCTTTTTGAGATCTTTGTTTTTCCTTTTGGTCATCTTGGCAGATGATCCAAACTTGTTAATGATGTTGTCCTCAGATGCCCCCTGCCCATGCTTGTTGAGTTGATCCGACCCTTTAAGGCGCAGGTTGTTAGGCCTGTTGTTGATGCTTTCCTGAGACGAGGCCTTGAAGCGCCCCGTTTCCAAGGCAGTAAAGACAGAGCGCTTCTCTGGGGAGAGCATGTCTAGGGAGTGGGCCCTCTGGTCCAGGCCCAGGCGCCTGCGCTCCATGCTGCGGATGGTAGCTGCCCGCTGAAGTTTGTCGTGGATCTCCACGCTGAGCCGCCTCCGCGTCTCTCTGAACTCAGCTGTTACGTTCGCTTTCCACTCAGCAGCATGGGCTTTTATTTCTCCAACCTGTACAACAACAACAAGAGAAACAAAGCAAAAACCAAAAGAGGAAAATGAAGTGGCATTCTTCACTGTATTACAGTAGCACAAGCACTTTCCTGTCTGGCAGAGAACTGGAGAGGAATGCAAGAGCTCCCACACGCACATCTAGGCCCAAGCTTCAGCAGCACACTGGTTTTACTCAAGCCAGCTCCTTCCTCACGGACTAGTGACTGTCTAATGGCTCATGTAGCATACGGTTGACTTGGCTGCCTCTTTCACATTTTGCCACCCCACACATTTTAAAGCTATGCTACAAGATGGCAACTTTTCATGCTGATCCTCTCCCTGATTAAGACAAGAATAAATTTGCTGATTTATGTCAGTGGTAGATGTTCTGGACATTCTGTGGGCAGAAGTGACCACACTTGCCAATACGCTTCAGAACAATCCCCAGTGTAGCCATATAGTTCTTGTTCTCACCCATTTCTCATGGTTGGAGCTCTTCAGACCCATGGTAGGGGGCCACAAAGCAATTAATATCCATAGTCAGGAATATCTATTACATAATTTCAATATCCAAAATGGCCAGTTACCATCCACGCAAGGGTCCCTTGTCAGAAAGGAAGCACGTGTAACTCTCTTTAGTGGAGGTTTCCTTTGCATATCTGTCCAAATACCACCCCCTCAAGCCAGCAGTAAGAGCACTGCTACCCAAAGAGGACTTTTCAAAACATATCCGTATTCTGTGTGGGTGTCATGTCCTTAAATGTCTCACTGTTCTGTTTTTTTCTTTTCACTCTTTTGTACCTGAGAGTAGAATAATGATGAAGAACAAAGCACTGACATGTCTGCTCTATAGAACAAATATTTCTTATGAGCGGTGGAAAAAAAAAAAAAAAAGAAAAAAGAAAGAAAATAAATTACCAGGCAATATCTCAGCCAACTCAGGCTTTTTTCAAAATTCAGCTAAGGGAGAAGAGATTCAAGGGTACAGTCTCTGCAGCAGTCTACCAAGGTCAAAACTTTGCTCAAGCTGCTGTAGCAAGAGCTCAATTTCTATACCTCACAGTTCCCAAGGGAGTGATCTTTGCTTCCTTAGGCCAGACAAGCAGGTTTCCATTTATAACTGGATTAATTGCAAAAGCTAGCATCACATCCCCACCATGAGGGCTCCAAGTTCCAACCGGTAGGCACCACAGCCAGGCAGGATAGCTGCCCTGCTGATCAGCAGCAGCCCCCTGTGAAGATCCCTTTACAATGGATACCTTGGGCCTCAGGTGAGTCAGCTAACTTCATAAATAATAAATAGCATTGCCCCTCTGCCAGACCTTGGCTATATCTGCTCTTGGCTAAACCTGCCGTTAGTTTTACTTGGAATTCAGGAGGAGATTGCATAAAAATTTGAAATTATGTTAACCACTTAAGAGTCTTCAGCTCATGGCTCATGGCAGTTACCTTTCATTTTTCACTCTGATTTTGGGTGAAAGAAATTAGGAATACTGTTCTCAGTTCATGGAGGGCATGATCTCGAAGGGAAGGGCTCTGGAGCGGACGCTCGYGCCGGAGCTCCTTGTCTAGAGACGAGCCACTGCGGCCCAAAGCCGCCGAGCGAGAGAACGCAGGCAGCGAGCAGCGCGAGGCAGCCCCGGCGCCGACCCCTGAGCGGGCAGCGCGGAGCCCCGTGCCCGAGGCGGCTCTGACTCAGCGGGGGCGGAGCCGGCAGCACAGGCGGGAGCTCAAAGGCCGCCCCCAGGGAGCGCGAGCGACCAGGAGCGCGGCGAACAGAGCGTGGCGCGGCAGTTCGCGCAGGCAGGGCGAGCAGGGAGGTCCCTCCCCGGCGAGCAAAAGAATCCTGCCCACAGTCTCTTCCGTCAGCAGAAAGGCAGGGGAAACCATGGTGTCTGCTCGCCAGAAAACTCGCGCCAGGAGGACTGTCGCAACCCAGACTGAACTGCCACAGAAGCATGCAGAGGTGCAGGTCACTACCTGCGAGGAATGMCTGAGCTTTTCTTTGGTGCCAGGGAGTGGGGAAAACACTGCCTGCCTCAGGTGTGAGCAGGTGGAGTCCCTCCTCAGCCTGGTGGTAGAGCTGAAGGAGGAAGTAGAAAGGCTCAGGGCTATCAGGGATTGTGAGAGAGAAATAGACTGGTGGAGCTGTGTTCTGCAGTCCTCCCAAGGTAT